ATGTGTGTGGCTGTCCTCCGGGTGGTGTGTGTGGCTGTCCTCCGGGTGGTGTGTATGGCTGTTCTCTGAGTGACGTGTGTGGATGTCCTATTGGTGGCATGTGTGGCTGTCCTCCGGGTGGTGTGTGTGGCTGTCCTCCGGGTGGTGTGTATGGCTGTTCTCTGAGTGACGTGTGTGGATGTCCTATTGGTGGCATGTGTGGCTGTCCTCCGGGTGGTGTGTGTGGCTGTTTACATTGTGGCACTGTTATGTGTGGCGGCCTTTCTGATGGGGGTACATGTGACCGTCGAGATGTTTATGCTGCTTTGGCTGGAAGCATTGCTGCGGCAGCTGTGTGCATTGCGATGTCATCTGTGACCCGCACGGAGTAGTACAATTTGCTGACCGTGACAGAGATTGACTTCCAAGCATTCTTAGTCGATCCAGTGTACGACCGATGGTTTATGGACAATTTACGTTGTAATCAAGTGTCCTTTGTCGAGTTATGTGAGTTACTGCGGGTGGAAATGGCGCAATACAGTCTCGACAATTACACCAAATCCCACTCATACGAAAAAAAGGTGGCTGTTGTGCTCTACTTTCTGGGGTCCCAAGGTGGATACAGAGAAGTTGCGACTGTGTTTGGGATGTCCAAATCGTGGTGCCAGAATATTGTGCACATTTTTGCTGAGGTACTTGCTGGAATGGCGTCGTCATGGATACACCTTCCAACATCGGATCTGGAGTGGCAACAAGTTGAACTTGGGTTCCGTTCAAAACAAAACATGTCGGGTATTGTGGGGGCTATCGACGGAACACTAATTGAAATCCAACGTCCAAAGGACTACGATGGATTCTACAACAGACATGGGGACCCATCACTCAACGTCCAAGCCATGGTGGATCATACTGGCGCATTCACTAGTGTTGACATAAGACCTGGGTCATTTTCGGACCGCCGGATCTGGAAAATGTCAACGTTGGGACGTACATTCCGAACTAAATTTCCAAGTGGCTCATACATCATTGGGGACTCTGGCTATGCATTGTTTCCATGGCTCATCGTGCCGTACCTTCCACAGGAGGAGCCAAACAAGACATTGTCATCGTGCCAACGCCATTTCAATTACATACATTCAAGTACGCGAATGGTTGTTGAATGCGCATTTGGCCGGCTTAAAGAACGGTTCCGCATGCTCAAGATTCCGATGAGTGAGAAATCAATCACGCAGACCTCCCGCAATGTCATGGCGTGCATGGTGCTACACAATACATTACTTCGACTTCACGACCCATTGTTCAACGAACCAGACAGTGTACGTGACCGCAACATTTATTGTCAACCAAAACCTTATGTGCACGGACGAACACCAGTAGAAACATCAAGTGGTCCTGCGATCCGTTGGTAGATTCAAGCGAGATAGAATTGCCCAAACATTGTTCAAAATGACTAATGAATAACATCAAAATGCTTTATTGTTGAGATTCAGCTACATTGGATTCGCGGCGAAGGATGTATTGGAGCAACTCAGTGATTTGATCGGATTGCTTTGCCATCGCCTCAGTTTGTTTTTCGATTGCTAACAATATCTTGTTGCTCATGTCACCGTCGGCAGGTTGTTTTCCAAACGACGACCCGATGCTTTCAAGCCCATTGCCAACTGCTTGAAGGCCTTGAAGCAGGGCTGTAGCGTGGGACGGTTGATTCGTGTGAGATTTTGACGACCTAAGTACATACATCAGAACGGTATAACAATATTGATGAATGTAAATACTTTTTCACAGAGAATAGCTCCTTCTCGATGTTCGTGGGCACCACAGTTGATGGCTTTGCATTTCTCGTCTCCGGGAGGACGATGTCGGAGTCTGCACCCATCACACTGTCCGAATCGCTACCGACGTCTAAGC